TAGAGGGTCAATGGGGAAAAAAAGCGGGGGGACTTCTGTAATACTTTCAACAATAAAGATAAATTTTAAAAAGATAAAAGGTATAATATAGATAAAAAGTAGAATTTCAAAAAATAAAATTAATTTCTATATATTAAGGACAAAAAATTAGACAATGAATTTTTTAAAATCCCATTTCAATAAAACAAATACCTGGGAACAAATCTAATAAAAATATATAATACAAAACTGAGCAAAAATAAAGAAGACTTAAATACAAGAAGGTATATACCATGAAAAAGACTAAAATCTTCAATATAGTTATGATACCAGTTCTCACAAAATAATTTCCTAGAATAAGTGAAATTCTAATTGAAATCTCAGCAGCATTTTTTAAATTTATTGTATCTGACAAAATCACTAAAGCTTCTAAAATTTATGTGGAGCCCGGCTGGGTGTGGCTCAGTGGGTTGAGCGTCGACCTAGGATCCAGACGATCGGGGTTCGATTCCTGGTCAGGGCACATGCCCGGGTTGCAGGCTCAATCCCCAGTCAGGGACATGCAGGAGGCAGCTGATCAATGACTCTCATCATTGATGTTTCTAGCTCTCTCTCTCCCTCTCCTTTCCGCTCTCTGAAATCAATAAAGATATATTTAAAATTTATGTGGAAACCCAAAGGGCTACGAACAGTCAAGAATATCTTGAAGAGCGATGCTGGGGGACGTATACTAAAACAGGTAAAAGTTTACAAAGTTAGAGCAATAAGACAGTGTCAGCATAAGGATACATAAACAGGTCAACAGAACAGAATAAAAATAAGGGCAAAATGCTTGAGCAGATGCTTGACAAAGAAGATATCCAACTGGCCAATAAATAGTAATAGGCACTCCAATTAGGCATTCAAGAAAGGAAATTAAAACTATGATATGGCACCAAAACAAACATTCAGAAAAGCTAAAAATATTTTTTAAAAATTACATCAACAAATGTTAGCAAAAATGTAGAGCAAATGAAACATTCAATTCAGTATTTGAGGAAGGGGAAATTGATACAGTCTCTTTGGAAAGCTGTACCATTACTGAAACTCAACCCACACTTACTCTATATCACTAAGTCCTAGATATATATCTAACAGAAATGCATACAAAATCCTTGCAGCATTATTTGTAATAGGAAAAAATACTGAAGCAACACAATTATCTATGGAGAAATAAATGGATAAAGTGTGACATAATTATACAATGAAATACTATAGCAATGAAAATGTGTCATCTAAATTTCAAAAGCATGATATTGGACAAAAAAAAGTCAGCCAGAAAAAGGGCATACTATATGATTCCACTTATGTTAAGTTCAAAACAGGTAAAACTAACTTGAGAGACAAAAGCCAGAGCAGTGATTACCTTGGGAGAATAATGACAGGGATGCGGCAGGAAGAAAGTTTCCAGAGCACTAACAATGTTCTACTTCTAGCAGGTAATTACATAATTATGTTCACTTTGTAAAAATTCATTAATTTACACACTTGAGATATGTGACTAAACCTGATTTTACTCCCTTTAATTCTAAGTCAGTTAAAATAATAAAAGAGAATTGTTATTATTTTAATTACAATATCTCACTACTAAAAACGATCTGTGATGTCTAACAAAATAAATACAATCACAGAGAAAACATTTTAATAAAAAGATTAAGGTAGAAGTAAAATAAAGTAGTAAGAACAGGTGAAAGGTGTACTTTGGTACACCACAATTATGCCAGGTTTCTTACAACTGTTATCTGATTATAACTTTGATTCTCTAAGTCCAGCAACAAAAGCAAATAGGGCCACAGTATACAATCAGTGTCCATAATATCAATACATACCAATAACTCAAGGCTGGGGGGGAGGGGGCAAAAATCCGTTTTTCTAGGCTTAAGTTCAGAGAGAAAATTTTGCCAGTCTTGATAAGGAGACAATGACCTCCATCTCCTAAGGCACAACACCCTTGACAAAACCTTACAGAAAATACATTAACGGATTTATGGATTCCATTTGCTTCTTATAGAGCCTTTTAATACTAATTGAGGAGATAATGACAGAGTGATGTGATATATATTATATATAGAGAGATATAGACAGATATAAGGCAATTTGTCAGAAAAGTAAAACCAGTAATATAGCGAGATGATATTCTCTAGTAAAAACAGAGAGTGAGAAAAATTATATCCTTTGACAACCAACAATGTAGGATTGATACCTTATTAGAAAAATTAAAGTCTCTAAATAGGATTTATGCCTGAAAAATAAGACACAGCCACAGATATAGATAGGTTAAAGGAATTCTTGTAGACAGGACTGGGATTTTCCTTAAAAATAGGATTGTGGAACAATTTCTGTCAATAAATAAATAAATAAATAAATGTCCCAAAACAATACCCTCTCAAAGGACAGTCATGATAGTGCCTTAGCATAGAAAGAATTAAATAATTGCTCATCCCCTGCCTAAAATCAGTATCTTCTCCCAGAGGTGTTCCTTGTCCCATGTTCTCTCTCTTTTGATTCATATCATTACCACCCATTCAATCCAAGCCAGAATCTCAAAGTCATCTTTAATTCTTCCCTCTCTTCAGATGTAACTGGTAATCAAATCTTGATGAATTCTACCATTTCAGTATTTCTCACATCTACCTATTCTTCTCCTTTCTCAATTTTGTGTCTTAACTCAGCAGTATCACCTTTTGCTTGAGTTATCTTAATAGCCTCCTATGAGTATCTGCACACAACACACATGCCCACCCTTCAATCCATCTGTGTGTTTATTTGACAAACACCATTCACCTACTGTATACCAAACACTGTACAACATCCTCCAAAACACTTTCAGGGATAGCTCTGAGCAGGGGTCTAACTTCCGATTGAATTTCATCAATATTCTGTTTGATTTGGCAGACAGAGTGTTTCCAAATAGCTTGTGTGTGAAAGGCTCCAGGCAAGGCCTGACCAGTCCTGTGGGCCTGACCATTTCCTGCTTCATATAGATGTTACCTGCCTGGTCCCTAAAGACATCTACGTTTGCAGCTCCTAACTAAAGCAGAAATAAAATCACATTAATCCACTGCTTTAAAACCTTTGGTAGCTCCCCATTAAATCAAGGATAAAGTCCCAAATTAGCTTGGCTTATAAGCCTCTTAACAACTAACATGAAAAAATGACTTCCCATTCACTTTTCAGTGCATATACTTCAGTCGTACAGACTATGTGCAATTCCCCAAACAAACCCCAGACTTTCACATCCTCTGTTCTTGCATACAATGTTCACAATAACTAGAACATACCTTCTCCTTGTCTCACTCACAAATGTTCATCTTTCTTTCCAGGCCCAATCCAAATGTCATTTTTTCTGGGAAGTCCTGGTTTACAGTACCGTGTATTATAGTAAAAAATATCTGTGACTGACTGTCTAAGCCTGGGGTGGGGAACCTTTTTTCTGCCAAGGGCCATTTGGATATTTATAACATCATTTGAGGGCCATACAAAATTACTGTTGCAATGAAAAGGCTCCTAGATTTATTGAATTTTGAGTCCTGCCTGGAGTTGCCTTGGCAGAGCCAGACCAAATGATTTCATGGGCCTTATACAGCCCATGGGCCAGATATTCCCCACAGGCTAAACAGAGACTGTGGCTTATTGCCAGTGAACTCCCAGGACTAAATAAACTCACGCCTGACTCAAAGCTGACAATAAATATCTGCTGAGTCAAATCTGTAATTCAAACAAAAATGGCAAAATTTTACTATCGTTCCATTAGCCCCTCCTTTCTACCTCAGTAAAGAAAACTATAGATTGACAGGGAAAAAAGGAAAATGTTTTAGAAGCAAAAGAACACTAGACTCTGAGTCTACAGGTGCCTTACAAAAGAGATGAGCAGAGCTAAAACAAGTTCCACTCTTCTATGATATGGGGTTCAGAAGCCTACCTAAGGCTGAAGATAGATACAGGTATGAAGAGGCAAGAATACCTGAAATAGTAAGTAGGTCAGCACTTATAAACAATTCTTTCAGGGAATATTTTGAGCTTGAAGAAAAAAGAAATATATCTAAATTCATTAATAGGTGAGAGTAATAATTTCTTTAGCTTCTCAGTTGGAAAAAAATGCAATTTAGTGTTTATAAAATTATTATAAAACTAGATATTTTTGTTGCTTCTATTATTTATGATGACAATTATTCCATATACTATGTATTAAGAGTTAATGAAAGCCCTGGC